TCATTAATTTTTTCTCTTGCAAATGAGTCAAATCTGAGGATATGATAATCGATAACGTAGATGACTTCCCTAAATAAGCATATTTCCCTAAATAAGCATATTTTTACTGTGTAGGAAGTACTTTCATCTCAAGTTTAGGAGGTTCCTCAACAGAAGAAATAATAAGTTTACTATTTTATGTCGTATCTAGTATTTCAAACCTCTTCTGAACAAATTTTGAATCTTCAGCACTCAATATATCCAACTCATCTTGAGAGTCCAGGTCTTTCTCGTTATCTAACTCTGGCTCTATTGATTTAACTCCATAACTTTCTCTGAAATGGCTGCTACAAAAATAATCAATTAAGTCAATCCAAAAACATGCATCTTCATATCCTTCAGAAAGATATTTCATAGATTTTAAAACATTAAATGTAACTTCATGATCATTTACTCTCATCATTAATTCACTTTTTTCGCGTCTATCATAGCTCGTCCAGTAGCTATAAAATGTCTACCTAAAATGATTGAAATTTTTTGTATCTTCCTCTATCTAACATGATGAAATCAACAAGGAAGATGAATTTGTTGAATTTAACTAAAACATCCTCTATAACTCTTTTTAGATAAGTGATCGCTAACTGAATGGTTAAAGTAGTAGGAGACACTTCTCTTAATTCAAACCTTTTAAAAATAGATAATGTCATAAGGTTTATACTTGCTCCAAGATCGCTTAAAGCTTTTATGAAAAAATATTTCTCCTATTGCGTAGGGAATAGTAAAGCTCCAAGGATCCTTAAGTTTCTGAGAAAGCTTCTTTTGAATTATGACGTTGCACATGTCATTGAGTGCAACTATCTCATAGTCTCCAAACATCCTCTTCTTGTTAAGAATGCCCTTCATGAACTTTACATAACTGGGTATTTGCTCCAGAGCTTCAGCAAAGGAAATATTAATAATTAGTTTCTTAAATACTTCTAAAAATTTTGAAAATTGTTGATCCAACTTCTACCATCAAAGTCTTTGAGAAAATAGAGATGATGGTTTTTCTAAGTTAATCTTATTTGGAGAGACTGGTTTTTCTAAGTCCATGAAAATATTTTCCTCAAGTTTTTCAATTTTCACAGTCTCTTTTACAACCTCAATCTCTTTATGAACTACATCCTCTAACTTTCTTCCACTTCTTAATTGGATAACTTTAACATGCTCAATACTCTTCTCCTTAAGGTTTATCTCAGTGTTGCTAGGAAGAATTCCTTGGGGCCTATTGCTAAGTGAGTTAGTAATTTGTCCCAATTAATTCTTTATATTCCTTATTGATGCACCTTGACTTCGTAGTTAATTCTCCATTTACAATGCAAACTCCTCCAAAGACAACTTCTTCTCCTTAAATTGTGGATTATTATCAAAGCTTATGCATAAGAAGGTCTATATTTGGTACTACCTTGGTCATTCCAATTTCCTAAAGGATTTGCTTATTTATTACCCCATTGTTGGTTTACCCCACCAGAATTGTAATTCAAGTTAAAATTATGATGGTTCTTCCAGTTGGTTCATTCAAAATTGATATAGCTGCAACCAGAGAAGTAAGAATTGCAAGCACATCACTATCATGCACACTAGCTACATTTCTAAGATTTATCCTTCAATAAGGCCATTAGATATTGTTTGTAGTCATCTCTTCAATCAAATAGTAAGCCTAATTAAATGGCTTTGACATGAGTGAAACACCAGCGACAACATCAATAATAGATCTAAGTTATCTTACTAAACCATTATAAAATATTTGAATGATTAACGAATCGGGCAGAGCGTGATGTGGACACTTCCTAAAAAGTTCTTTAAATCTTTCACATGCTTCGTATAATGACTCGTCTTCATATTGTTAATATAAAGTAATATCATTCCTAAGTATAGCAGTTTTTGAAGGAGGGAAATACTTAAGTGGGAATTTTTGGGCTGATTCAGACGTTAATGAGATTAACCACATTTTAGCTTTATCCCTCAAGGAAAAGAGAAAAATTCTAAGTCTAACAATGTCATTTGACATGTTATAATGAAATGCAGTACAAAGTTCTAGAAAACTTGCTAAATATAAATTTGGATCCTCAGACGAGGTCCCCCAAGCCAGTTGTTTTGCACCATTTGGATAATAACATGTTTCAATTCAAATGTGTTAGCTTCTATAGCAGGAGTTTGAATACTTAAGTGAATTTCATCTGTCATAGGATTAGTGTAATCCCGTAATGGTCTATGTGTGTTAGATGTTCATTAATTGGCATTTAGTTATCTAAATTGTTCTGTTGAATATCCATCATTTATTCTACAAGTTCGTGAAGTTTTTCTGTTTTCTAATTTGTTTAACAGTCCTCTCTAATTTTGAATCGTCGGGTACAAGTCCTGCAGTTCCTGTACTACACATACAAATTAGAGGTTCAAAATTTAACACAATTTGTCAAAAATAACCTTCTTTTTTTTTTCTTTTTAAACACACAAACAAACTTACAAAATAAAACTAAACTACGATTTTCCAAATTTAAGTCTTATTATTCAACTAAAATTCTCCTAAAGTTATTTATTGTCAATGTTTTCTCCGACAATGACGCTAGATTATTGATCTGTCGTAGTGATTATCACAAATAGGTTAGTCCTGACAATGACTCAAGAAACTTGTTCTACTCCATAACAACTTGATTAAATTCTTAAAATTAGATATTCTTACACACTAGGGTTTCTCAAGTAAGTAAACATATCGTTTCAGTAATATAGGGCTCTATTGTCTGGATTGTCGATCTCAAAGAAAAAAAATTAAGGTATTAACTCCTTTGAAAAAGTTCTAGTTTACTACTAAGAGGTCTTAGTTTGGAATGTTGATTTAGGTGGTTTTACTAATAGTTTCTTCTAAATTACAACACTAAGTCTAAAGCTAAAACCAACTAAATCAATTAGTTCGGTGAATATCAAGACGTAAAAGCCACTTATCTCTTGTGATTGCATAAGTGGATTGTTTGTAGGATCAAATACTATGAATTGTAATTATGGCTAGTGACAAATATGAACATATATCTTGTTTACTATCTTTCAAGCGCGTAAAGATAGTTGGTTTAACTTAGTAAATGTTTCTGCCTATCACCCTAAAAACCCCCAAGTTATACCCATCAAAACTTATCTCCCTCTCAATTTGCATTGCCCTATGGTCTACTTCTCCTTCACCCACTAGTTCAATGTGATCTTCCTATTCGTTCGTGTCATAGCTCTTCCAAGTCTTATGGGTTCACAATAAATTTTAACACTCCATTTGGCCAGAATGACAAGTAAAAGAAGCACAAAAGGAAATATCATCACATTAAGATTTAATGATCAGTTTTATAAATATTCTACACATCCTACAAATCCTACTTATTTATCACAAGAGACAGGTACAAATCTACTCACAAAGCATGAAAAACACTATAGAAATTCTCATCATTTAACAAAACAAATCTACTAAATATATGTTACAACAATACAATATACATAGACATGATACTTTGCTTTTCTCCTTTGAATAGAGATGAAAAATCCATCCAACAATGTATTCAAGTGCTCTTTGCAATGCTGGAATGATCTCCTTACATATTTCTCTCAAAACCCCTCACTAATCTCTCAAGAAAAGTGAAAAATACTAAACCCTAGATCTTCCTACGACTCCTCTGCTTTTCTTCACTTCCCCCAGGCTTTAGAAGTGTCCAGAGTCTCGTCTCGAACCGCTTAAATCGACTAGGTAACTCCTTCGATTGTGTTGTATCAACTGTTGGAACTGCTCAGAAACTGACCAGTGCCTTGGTGCCAGTGCCTTGGCGCCACAGAGCTGGCGCCTTGGCACCAATCTCTCGAGTTTTTAGACTAAGCACTGACGTCTAGGCGCCCCGTAAGCTGGCGCCAAGGCCCTTGGATGGCGCCATGGCACCTAAAGGTTGGCGCCTAGATGCCAGTCTTCTGGTCTCCAAATGCCCCATTTCGCTTCAATTCAACTCCGCTTCACTTCATATGTCGTACCTGTTATACCTGTAAAAAAATATCAAAATATATTTCTTTAAAGTGCAATTTCATTCATAAACAAGTGCAAAATATTAAAAAAAAAATAGCTTGCTTGAGGACATATCAGTTATAGTGATGTGTCACAATAACATACACACGTCATAGATGTCAGAGTTGCGATCTGCATGAGTTGTAAGCCACATAGGCTATAAGTAGTCACATACGTCGTAGTAATGAGTTGCAATAATATTCATGTGCCACAGAGGCTGAAGTTAGGAGTTACATGAGTTGTGAGCTACCTAGATTGTAGTCGTTCACATATGTTGTAGCAGTGAATTGCAATGATGTCAGTTAGCCTTAAAGACCATAGCAAAGGGCGAGCGTTAGCTGATCACTAAAGTCGGATCAGAGGGTTGTACTGACAGGAGTTACGACAAGGGAATCAAGGTGCATCACTGCACCATCTTCAAGGTGGATCGTTAAACCATATTCGGGCACCACATTATCCATAGAATACTTCATTACTCCACAACATACATTGTTACTTCGCAAAGTGATTCATTGGTGATGAGCATTGGGCGGCCAACAATGACCACTGGCAGCCAGCGAGAGATGGCCAACGATGGTTGTTAGTTGTGGAGACAAGATGCGTTTTTTTTGCTTTCAAATTCATAATGACTCTCAACTTCTTCTCTCGATCCAGCTCACGGTCCCTGTGACTTGATTTATAAATTTAGCGAGAGGCCTTCAAATTCAAACTACTCCATCGGACGGCCGAAAGAGATTTTGATGAGCAAGAGGCGTTTTGTGAACATTTAAGTGTTTTAAATGATGTCAGAACTGAGTGATATGAGACACACTTGATTCATCACATCTAGACACTCAATTTGACTATAACTTGTCAAATTTGGAATCCATTTCACCATCCAATTTACATGTATGTAAATTCTAAAATATATATATATATATATGTATATATTAGCTTCAGCATGCATCAGAACAAAGTTCTAAATTGAGATTATAAAATTAAAATAGAAAATCCGGAGTATTTACAGGACAGACAGGAAAACTGCATTCAGCAATAAAGCTTTAAATTACAAACCACATTCAACAGCACTTTTCAGCATACAAAAGAAGCATATATAGTTTGTTCTCTGCTCCCCTCAAAAGGATCAATAAAAGCACAGACGAAGCAGAACCCGAAGTACTTCCAAGGAATCACTCATTAGAGAATGGCAACGGTCAGGTAATCCCCAATCTTTTAAAAAAACAGAAGAAGAAATTAATAATAATAAATTAAATAAATCAACCAAAAATAAATTTGCTTTAAAAAAAACTAGTCTTATTTTGAATCATTTTTGTTTTGGGCATTTGCGTACATAAATCTTAATTTTTCATATTTACATGCGTAACACTCAAATCTTTAACATCACATAAGAAAATACCACCATCATTATATCTTTTAAAATAAACAAATAGGTTCACTGTAAATATCCAAATTTAGACATGAGATATATAAATACATAAGATGTTCCAAAACTATTATATTAACATATATAACATTTTGGTGCTATAAACCTACGCATGAAAATATGTTTTTCACTTTTAAAAAGTCCTAATAGTGATTACATTTCATGTGATATTAAAGATTTGAGTGCTACGCGTGTAAATATGAAAGTTTGGGTGTAAGACATGTAAATGCATAAAAATTGTGTGCTATGTATGTAAATGCCCCTTTATTTTTTATGTATGAAATATATTTTATTTTAAATCAAAATATACATAAAATAAAATAAAAAATAAAAATTATCCCAAATAGCCCCTGAATGTTATAAGATATTATATATAATACTTACCTGAAAGCTGAGTTCATCCAATGTCTTCGCATCATCGATTCGCCTCCCATTTCCAAAAGAATAAGTCATTCCCACCTTATATGTGCCAATAGGACAAGAAATAAAATTAGTATATTGTTCATATGAAGCAACTTTTATGACCGTTAGATTTAAAGCATTTAAAAGACAAGCACAACATATCAAACAAAATACAAAAGGAGTATTTACATGCATACCACCAGATTCCTATGTATTTACATATCTAATACCTAAGCATTACTTTTACATTCATACCACCCAAATTTCATATGAACAAGACCACCATTTGAACTTTTAAATTGTGAAAGACACCCTTATATGCAGATAAGGTGGCATATATATATTTAGAAGTTGAAGTTGGTGTTAGATATGTAAACAAATAGGAATTGAGTGTAGTTATGTAAATCTTCCAATGAAAAAAAAAAAAAGGAACAAAAAACAATTGTAGATATCTGAGAAGGTAGCAAACACAATTTATTGATAGACCATCATTGCTTGATTATCTGTGTTTCGATGTTCGAAAAATCAAATCATTCTGTTTTGAAATTCTATTGATCCAAAGCAATGAAATGTTATTATAGATGGCAACAAATCACTTTCTATTTATGAGAATGGTCTTCTTCTTCGATGGCAACAAATCACTTTCTATTTATGAGAATGGTGCTTCTTCAAAAAACTTCTTCAAAAAAAAAAAAAAAAAGGATTTGTGAAAAAAAACTTGACATAGATTTTGCACAATAGAATGGCAAAGCAGCTATTATAAATTTTTTATTTGCATGAATACCAAAATTCCAAATGTTTATAACTAATTAGAAATTCATAAAAGAGATTGGATTTCTCATGAATATATACAGTATATACAACAACAACAACAAAGCCATAATCCCACTGTGTGAGGTCGGGTACATGAATCCTTCTTCTCCATAGCGTCCTATTTAGAGTCATATTGAAAAAAAAAAAAAAAATAACAAGAAGGAGAAGAAAGGAAGAAAGAAAAAAAGTCTACTAAGGCAATTATAAAAAGGGGCATTTTACATGCACACCACACAATTTTTATATAATTGCATACATAACACTCAAATCTTTGAATCGCATCAAGAATACTACTATCACTAGCCTTTTAAAAGTGAAATACAGCGTTTCATGCATAGGTTTTAATGCCAAGGTATTATAAATGCAATAGCAAACTTGGGTATCAGATATGTAGAAGCATAAGAATTGGGTGGTATGTATGTAAATTTCCCTTAATAAAAATGAAGGAATTCATATCTGGCTCGTTGCACATGTTGAAGAAGCACAAATGAGTTATCCTGCGATGACCTGTCTAGTGATTTTGAAAACTTGTTTAATGAGTTTGGATAATTTAAAAGAATATATATTCATGTCAAAAAAAAGTTATCTAACTTCGATGAGATTATTGACATTTTTGGGGGAAAAAAAAAGATGAATCTCTCCAGAAAAATATAATACAATAAAATGAATTTTTAAAATCTAGTCCATTGCATGAGAAAAAGAATATTAATCGTACAAATAATATAATTTCATGCATGAATAATTTCAAATTATTAATTGGCCAATCAAAACATATTCCTTACTAGAAAATGAAGATGAAAAGCATAGAGAAGGGGAAGCTAATTTGAAATGCAAACTTGATGATTTACATATATTTTGTTGCACTAACATTACACATGCAAGCATAATCTTCAAAAAGTGCATGATAAGATAAAAATAAGCTAAGGACATGATTTATGATCTCTTTCCTCCACAAGCATTGCTTCTAAATGTCCGCACGCTTCTCATTCTTATTGCAAATTAAATGTGTATGCTAGCACATCTCATAGAAAACATGATAATAATTAAGGGTATTTACATACATAACATCTAATCCTTATGTATTTACATATTCAACACCCAAATTTTATTTTTCACATTTATACCACCAAAACCTTCGTATCACATAAAAAGTATCACTATTTTGACTCTTAAAAAAATTGAATTCACCTTTACATGCATAGGTAAAGCTGCATATATGTAAAAAATCAAAGTATAGGTGTAAGATTTGTAAATACATAGGAATTAAGTGATATGTATGAACATCATTCTAATAATTATCCCTAAATATGTAGTCTTTCATGCATGCTTTGCCCAAAACCCAATACAAGTTTTATAGTAGATTCGGAAATGTTTCATGTCAGTTCTAAGATCTTTGTGTAACACGAGTTCTCCATCTTATTCAGCAAGAGAGACTTTTTACTACCAAATAAAAATTAGGAGCCTTTACAAACATGCCACATAATTTTTATGTATTTATATGTCTAACACCTAAATTTGTTTTTCTTACATAATATATATACCACTCAGCTCTTTCATATCACATAAAAAATACCACCATTTTCAATTTTAAAAAGTGGGATACACCTTTTCATGCATAGGTATGTATGTAAATATTGAAGTTTAGGTGTTAGATATGTAAATGCATAGGACTTGAGTGATATGTATCGAAATCTTAATAAAAAAAATAGATAAGGTGCTCTTACTGGTCTCACTACAAAACGCACTAAAAACCGGCCATTCTTGCAGGGTAGACAAATACAATGAAAGTTTTGCATCTCTTTTCCTAGCTGCAGGAGCAACCTCTTTGACCTAGCAGGTGATTAAAATAAGAAGAAGCATTTACATAAATAACATCCAATTTCTATGTGTTTACATATCTAATACCTAAATTATACATTTTACATTTATGCAACCCAAATATTTCATAACACATTAGAAAAAACCCAATATTTTATCTTTTAAAAAGTAAAATACACCTTTTCAAGCATAGGAAAGGGATCATATATGTAAAAATTGAAAGTTTAGGTGTTAGATATGTAAATACTAAAAAATAGAGAAACCCTTAGTAAACACAGATAATTGTTGAATGAATACCAGATCAGTGAGCTCTCTAAGTGTGGCATCCTTCCACGTATAAATCTGGACTTCATCCTTAGGTTCTTTGCCCCTAACAGCAAAATCCTCTTTAAGATGATGACCACCAACCTAATGAATCCAAAAAGCGCCAAAGTTAAACTAGACCACTTGTGTAATATCAAAAGCAGAGTCAAAAAAAAAAAAAAACAGAAGGGAGAGAATAGCTATTTATAAAATTAGCCACTCTTCCACAAGGAGCGCAGAATCATGGACTGAGACAACTCACAAGGAGCTCAGAATCATTGACTGAGACAACTAAGGTTATTATTGTATTTAACTGATGGAAGTAGCCATTTAGAGTGATGGAAGGAATTAACAGTGCAGTAAGCAAAAAATAAAAAAAGGGTATTTACACACATACCACACAATTCTTATGTATTTACTTATCTAACACCTAAATATTCATATTTACATGCATTCCAGTCAAATTTTTAACATCACATCAAAAATACCACTATCACTATCTTTTAAAAAGTGAAATACACATCTTCATACATAGGTTTATAGCACAAAGATGTTATAGGTGTAAGTATCAAACTTTGGGTGTTAGATATGTCAATACATAAGAATTGTGTGGTATGTTTGACAGTAACACATCATTGATCAAGTAAGCTAGCTATTTCATGCCTAATTTTAGCTAGCAATGTATAAATTTAAGAGACAAGATACTTAATATTATCAATATTATTCAGAATCAAGTTAAAAGAGAGAAAACAATGGATATCATTGGGATATCAATGCAGTGTCAATGAAGATCAAGTTGAATAGAGAAGACTTAAGATTATTATAATTAATTTTCTCTAGAATATATGAAACCCTTCTTTATGTTTCACTTTGTTGCATCCTGCTTACAATGACTTCAGATAAATATATGTGGCTTCAACAAGATCTGTATAATAGTTAGTTGGTGCATCTGTACCAATTTTAATTGTCACCAAGATGATCTCATTTGAAATCCATTAGGTGTACATGAAGAAATAAATATCTCAACAGAATGATTGATGTTGGTCTTTCATATCCAAATGGCGCTAACTTTGACCTTATTGGATTTGCCGAGGTCAATTTTATAAATTGCTAAATTGGATGGGAAAAGTATTAAAAGTGATTGTCAATTTTTAAGAAATGATTTAGTAAAAATGACTCAATATCAATCATTCTTAATAAGAGGGGTGGTAAAATTAGGGGTAGAACCAAAACTCAATAAGAGGGGCTGTGAAATTAAAAATTAATAGATGATGAATATTTAAGTGTAATACTATTATGAATATTATTATTAAATTAAAAATATACTTAATAATAATTTATTATTAGGTATTTAAACATAAGGGTCAAACTTTTCAATGTATTATATGATATTAAAAAGTTGAAAATTTAGGGCTGGTGAGAGCCTCTCTCAGCCAATTCCTGGTTCCGCCACTGAGTACAGTAGCATAGATTTGACATGGCTAAATTGTAAAATTATCATTTTGATGAATTCAATCACAATTGTGGTGAATGAGGGTTTAGAGATCCTCCCAATTTGCATGTCTGCAAGAGTAAACTCCAATACGCAGCTTTTGATCTAATTCTAGCAATATAATCACTCCATCCTCTTGAGTCTCCAATACAATCTTGGCTACAACAAATTTACATTTCTGATGTAATTTCGCTTAATCTACTCCAAAACTCAGAAAAAAAATTATTATTGTAAGCAAAGTAATAGGACAAGTACAATGAGTTTGATAAAAAACTTGTAACCTTTTGTCGGTATATAAACTCTAACTTTTTTTAGGATAAACTTTGATAAAGACTTCCTAGATGGTAATCAGATGATATTATTTAATCTTTAAAAACTACAAATTTGGCGTAGTACTTGCACCAGGGAGAATAAAAAGAAAAATTCCATGATTCTCATTTGTATTTACTCAAAGACACTTGCAAACTTCTGCCCCGTTCAAGACCTAATTATATTTTTAATATTTGATTCTAAAGATGAAAAGAAGTTACAGTACAAAAATATGGACTAGCAAACCTCTGCCCCGTTCAAGACCTAATTATATTTTTAATATTTGATTCTAAAGATGAAAATAAGTTACAGTACAAAAATATGAAATTGAGATGGAATAAAATTCACAGGTTTAGGGGACTAATTGCATGGGCCAGGAATGCATGACATAAAGGGCAGAGTCTTTCGTTAAAAAAACAGGGGATCTAGATTTCAACACAATTTGTTGACCAATCAGAAAAAATTATGAAATTTATCCAAATTCCATTTATGCTTCAGAACGAAATATTAAGTCCAGAAATTAGTGGTAATTCATAAATAAAGTTATCCCTAGCATCTCTAAAGACCTCAAAGAGAAAGAATCAAAGATCAACAAAAAGAAAAAAATCAAGCCTACTGATAATACTCCTTTCTCCATATAGAATTCGAAATTATCCATATACCTTAGTGAAAACTCGGAGCAGAAGAGGGCATGTCTGCAATTTCATAAGCAAAGTTGTTAACAAAAATACCACGTCAGCAAGCATAAAGAAACAAAATAATAGATCATATTTAGCTGTGGAAAAAGAAATGGAACAGCTACCTAGTAACATACTGAAGGATCGAAAGAGTACTTGGTGGGTAAATATTAAGATCAATTAGCACACTCACTAATATAAATGTATACAACAATTTGCATAATAAACAAATTAAAAACTGATCTTTGTAAACTTTAAATGCCTAGAATCATTCATCTTACTTTAGTAAATGGTAGCATTGGCAAGAACTTGCCGTGAGAACTTTATTAAATTAACATTCGTAAACATATACCGTAATAATTGGTTGAATCCAAACTTATCAATGTGGTTTAACTTGGATTCCATGAAAAATGAACGACAACAAGACTTCTTTAAAGTGGAACCAACAATACATGTCACATAAAAGGTTCCAAAAGCTGCAGATATCCTAAGAATCAGAAGACTTCACTGCTGCATGTATATTTTTTAAGGGGCATTTACATACATACCGCCCAATTCATATGTACTTACATATCCAACACCTAGACTTTGCCTTGTTAGATTCATAACACCTTAATTTTTCATATCTAATTAAAAATAGCACCATTTTCACATCTAAAAAGTAAAATACAAATTTTCATGCATAGGTGAAGTGGTACGTATGTAAAAATTAAAGTTTAGATGTTGAATATGTAAATACATGTGGTACGTATGTAAATCTTCCTTTTTTTAATTATATGTAGTTTGTACTGGTTCATACAGAACAAACCAATTGTCGAAAGAACTGTTTGTTACTTTCCATTCTTCCACACTCACTAGTATAACTAGCTAGCTAAATTTAACCTTTTAATGGACGAAAAAACTAATTTCCAAATAAGCTAAACTAGCTATGATAATTCCTACTAAGCAGCAACCGCAGACGTAACATAAATAGCATAAAACAAAGGCAAAATTATCTCCAGTATTATATCCGGCGAATTAAAGAATGAGAATTCATCCAATGTGCCCTTCCATGGCCAAATGTGATTCTAATAACCAAATCAATGTGAGCTAGAAAATTACAAAAATCAACATTTCTTTTGAAAAACTATTTTTTCCTTCTTTATTAACTTGTTAGACTTAGTATTTGAAAACTTTAACTGAAAAGTTTAGTTGTTTTTTAAATTTGCTGCCAAAAACATCATTTGTTTAATAAAACATAGCAAGATTTTTATCAATCCATCAACAAAAAAATGAAGAGACTACTTTTGTAAACATAATCATAAACAACATTATCAAAATTCTCATTGCGCTCCAAAAATGAGCCATTAAACTCTGCAATTTACCCTCATTTTGCTACAAACGAATTATGTTCATTCTTCACTACTTTATCATGAGTTAAACTTGCATCGAACTCCATGTAAATTTCATGGGTAACAAGTGTGGTTTTATTTAAAAAATAAAAAAGAAAATAACCAAAAAAATCCTTCTATGTATGAGAAAAAAGAACATTTAAGTTTATAAAAGCTTTTCAACAAATTTGCTAGTTAGTCTCGAAGTATTGTTCACAAGTCTACCAACAAAGAAAATTGGTGCTACTCCTAGAAAATTCATCACAACCATAATTAACTCCCATCAATTACAAGATAATGCCATCAAACATATTTTTTGAAGTGTTGTTAAAAGCACTTTAGGAGTTAATAGAAGCGATAAGTTGGCCCTGTACATTGCTCGCCTAGTATGCAAGCTCACAGAAGTGCACGTGTTACATTGCTTTGATACGGCTTGCATGTGTCCTCGACTCTGGCTAAAAATTAGATCCTGTTTTAGAGTTTACAATTTGGTTCAACATCGACCACAATAACAAAAACGCCAATGCTTGCTTTTCCTCATTGGTTCACATAATCATTAAATCACTCCTTTTGGAATCTCCTTTCTTGTTGTATTTAGACACTTCTCAGCAATTCCCTTTATGAGTTTTCTCATCTATTGTTTTATTATATTCTTCTCACTAATAAAATTGTTGTTAGAGGCTTCATGGTGCCTCCCACTCTATGCTTCACATTACCTCCACCTCTTAGTCTCTAGCGCTCACAATCTCGCCAGCATTTTTAATTTTAAATATTCTTCATCACATCATTTTAGCTATCTTTTATTCTTTTTTCGAATTTAGATAAACTAAACTTATTGTCGTTGATTGCATAATAGCCTTCATTAAAAATTATCACCGGATGTGGTTGAAAATTGGTTAATTAAAAGGGTATTATATACACATATGTATTCATGATATGAAGTTAGATGACACTCTAGCCGGTAAAAGAGACACTTTGTTTTGAGCATTGAAGAAACTACGAACTCTTACACATCACATTACACTTCAAAAAAACACTAATTCTACACCATTAAATTAGTAAAGTGAGATTAGCATAGCCATAAAACATAAGCATGGATAAATATTTTTTGTGAATAAAATAATGCATCTCATACACGACCCTAGATTTGACAAGTTCGAGCAAAAGTCTACAAAACTATTCAAGTTTCAATTCTTATATGCCATCCTATCCACAAAGCAGAATATTTTCATCCCCCAGTCATCTACATGAATCCCTGAGTAGGATAGTGAAAATAGCATGTAACAATAGATCACTTCAAACAATCTCCCAAACTAAGAGAAGCATAAATCAGATTTATTATTTATCTTTCATAAACAAATTCGGTGAGTCGATTTATAAAGTTTGCATCCAAAGCGTGTGCAAGTATTACATAGCCCAATTGAAATGTTACATACTGGTTTGATTAATTTCTCTATCATGACCAGGAATTAAGTAGAATTACTAATGTAATATAAGTTTAGAAGAATTATTCTTGATTTTCCAAAAATTTGTTCAGCAAGTCAACAAATTATAAAAACAAATTGTAAATTCAAAAAAAAAAAAAAGAGTTTGACAAGTACCTTCTCACGATCTATCGGCATACCAGGACGACGAACATGTGGTGGAGGCCCTCGTTGTTGCGGTGGAGGAATAGGCCTGGCTTGCCGGTTTTGGGGTTCAGCAACTTCGGCCATGTTTAGATAGTTCTATGTTTTTATGAAGCAAGTTAAATGGTGATGGACGCAGCAAAAAAGATTGTATTATGGTAAAAAACTAGACAAGATCCTTGTAAAATATATTTAATAAACTTAACAAGATGTTCATGGAACATTCATAGGAGATAGTCAAGAAGAATGCAATTAAAGTAACAATATAAATTTTGCAACAAGAGATACATCATGCCAAGTAAAATAAAATGTTGCAAACATGAATACAAAGAAAAAAATCATTCTAGAGGGAAAATAAGAATTTGTTTTAGAAATAAGTTCCCTTCATCATGAAACTTACATCATCCTTCACCTAGGATGAAATAGAAAGAGAACAAAAATGTTAAGTTGTAGGGCCACAGGTTAGAGATTCTACTCTATACTATCTTTATTTAAATAAGAAGGAGCGAGGGAGAGAACCAAGCAAATCATTCATGTATTTCATCCAAATAATTTAATATTACTCCAATCAATCAATTATATAATTCAAAGAAATAAATAACATCAACCACATTCTTATCATTTTAAGGATTTTTATAGAAAGAAACTTACAATTTCAAATAGTGAATAAAGTAAATAATTTATATTCCCATCTACCTCATTATTTTCTATTATATAATAAATATAAATTTTTTATATCTTCAAAATTTGACTAATGCACAAGTAACAATGTAAAGGTGACAAAAAAAATTAGGAGTTTATTCTTAAAAAAAAAGCAAAATACTTCTGATGTAAAGATTATGCAGGTATGGACGTGTGGTAAAAAGGGGCAACTAAGCATAGATATACAGTGGAGTTGAGACAATAAACAAAGATGATGAATAAAATAAAAAAGTCAAAAAGAAAAATTGGTTCCTAAACAACTCTTAAAAAGGACCGAATGGTCCAGATTAGTTATAAAAATAAAATAAGAAAAAAAAAAGAGCTAAAACATAGAATGGAGAGAAAAAAAAGCGACTGTTGCCAACGACATCGATCATGATGAGGAAGATAAGGCACATTTCACCAAAAACCATTAGCCTTAATTTCAAGGATTTGAAAATCAATCGACAACCAATTACGCTATTTTTTCCAATCATTTTTGGAAATCAACTTAAATTTGGAATGAGGGAGGGAAGACGATTAGGAATTACGAGTTCATGCGCGAGCATAGAAACCATGAGATACCTTGAGAAATATAGACGAGGGAAAAGAGAGAGTCTGAACTGCCTTGATAGAACCTCCGCGGCCTCTGGAGAGGGGCCGGTGGCCTGAGTCGGACGAGTCTGGGATGGTGGATGGTGGCACCGTTGCACGGGAGAGCCGAGCAGGTGAGGGTTAGTCAGCTAGGGTTTTTCGGTGATGTTGGAACAGACGCATTAGAAATATAATATACGAGAATTTATATAGACTAACAAATTGTAGGAATTACATTGGCTATCAAAAAAAAGTTTGTTGTTCGCGAATCGTTAGATTATTCGTGTTGGATTCATCAGACTATTCATGTTTGATTTGTTCGATAAGCAAACGAGACGAACATGAATAAATTTTTTCATTTGGTAAATATTATATAAATATTATATATTTATATAATATAAAGTATATAATTAATATAATATATTATATTATTATTTTTATATATTAATATACAAAACAAATGGACAAAGCCTTTTATTACCCTAAGGCGGAAGCCCTGTCCCGTGTTCGCCCTTTCCCCTCTCGAAAGCACGCCGCTCTTTCTCCTCTAGGAAGCACGCCACGCTTTCTCCTCTTAGTTTCGGCTGCTCTTTCTCTCAAAATCGTGAAAAACTTCTTCTCGGTGAGACTGCGAGAACCCTCATTCTTCTCGTCTCAAAATTGCGACTCAGCTTAAGGTTGATTGGTTGTGTTCGTTCTTTAATCTCTATTTTTATCTGTCTTCGATAAAGTGTATTTGTCCTCGGCGAGTCGGCGTTGGATTGACCACTCTTGGTATTCTTGCTTTGGTGCTTGGTTGCTTGTAAGGCTACCGAGTCATCTTCTTTGAACATATGTTATGTAATATTTCATATAATCTTCAGGTTTGTCTCTTAGCTTAAATTTTAAGAAATTTTTTTAGGATTATTTAAATTTTTTGAGTGAAACCTAAGTTTTAAGGTTTCTGAAATTTCTTATGAGGTCATGTAGGGCTTTTATGAGTTAATTTTTGTATTTCTTTTTTTTTTTTTTTTTGCATAAAACATAGGTATCTTGTGTCACAAAAGGCATAGTTTGGATAAGATCCAATGCCTAGTTAGAAGCTAGTTGAATAATACAGTTGTGTGCATGAACTAGGTATACTTTTATGGATTAGTTGGCTAAGATGGCTTCTTGTAGCGACATACTAATTTATGCTTTTCTTATGACATATGACATCTTCGATAATGAATATGCCGCAAGTCAAATCTTGTGAATAACACAAAACCCAAACAATGGATGGATAAGAGTTATCTTAATGCGGGGGAGGAGACATCCTCGCTTGTCCTTATTATTCTATTTTTTAAATATCTCTCGCTTGTTTGCATCACCTCTGGCTTTAAGGGAGATTTTCCACTCTAATCAAGCAATGTGATTAGATGGATTTGAGGGTGCCTCTGAGTATGAGTTATGTTTTGATTTTTTTTGGAGTTTAAGAAGCAAAGCAAAATGTTTAGAGTTCTATTGTCCTATCTTTCTTTCACACTTCAAATATCTTACAGTCTAATTTGCGTTGTTTTTTAGAATAATGATAGTAATAATCATATTTGTTATGGTACTTCATTATTAATAATATGGAAAATTGTTACTAACAAGTTGTCAGTGAATAGATGATATTTATTTGGGATATTTATTTGAGAAGACATGTTCACTCGTAAGAAATGATGCATATATTGACATGAAAGTTAATTTGTGGCATTGCAGAAATTGTTTAGCAGCTATATGATATATTATTAATATATTTACATATGTGGAACCATACAATGGCAATGGTTATATTGTCTACATATGATTGTCTACATATGGGCTGTTTTGAGCACTGTTTTGGAGACATTAAAAACATTATCTTATGGTTGTTTTGAGCACTGTTTTGGAGACACTAAAAACATCATTTTAGGGTTGTTTTCTATAATGTTTTGCATAAATTAAAAACAACATTTTAAGGCTATTTTGAGCACCTGTTTTGGAGACATTAAAAACATCATTTTGGGCTTGTTATAATCGCTTTTTGGAGCCTTTAAAATGTTATTTTGGCTCTTCTTACTTAGGGTTGTTTTGATCACTGTTTTGGTTTAAAGTGTTGTTTTGGCTCTTTCATTTTGGGCTTGTTATAATCGCTTTTTGGAGCCTTTAAAGTGTTGTTTTGGCTCTTTATACTTACTGTTTGGAGCCAAAGTGTTGTTTTGGTTTTTTGTACTGGCGATGTGGAGCCTTTAAAAGGGCTGATTTTGGGGGAGGATTCTAGGGATATTCTTGTACAAGCAACAGGCTAGATAATATGGAAACTTGTTACTAATAAGTTGTTAGTGAATAGATGATATTTATTTGGGATATTTATTTGAGAAGACATGTTCACTCGTAAGAAATGATACATATATTGACATGAAAGCTAATTTGTGGCATTGCAAAAATGGTTTAGCAGCTATATGATATATTATTAATATATTTACATATGTGGAACCATACAATAGTTATATTGTCTACATATGGGCTGTGTTGAGCACTGTTTTAGAGACATTAAAAATATTGTTTTAGGGTTGTTTTGAGCACTGTTTTGGAGACACTAAAAGTATCATTTTAGGGTTGTTTTGTGCACTGTTTTGCAGAAATTAAAAACATCATTTTAGGGCAGTTTTATTAAAAACATCATTTTAGCAGAAATTAAAAACATCATTTTAGGGCAGTTTTGAGCACTCTTTTGGAGACATTAAAAACATCGTTTTATGGCTATTTTGAGCACTGCTTTGGAGACATTAAAAACATCATTTTGGGCTTGTTATACTTGCTGTTTGGAGTCTTTAAAATGTTATTTTGGCTCTTCTTACTTAGGGTTGTTTTGAGCACTGTTTTGTTTTTTTTTAGTGGTGATGTGGAGCCTTTAAAAGGGCTGATTTTGGGGGAGGATTCTGGGGATATTCTTGTACAGGCAACATGGTAGATTTTGTGGCTTTTATATTTTTTATTTCCCGTCTATGTCTTCTATGCTGCTTTAAACTTATGGTAGAAGATAACTTGTGTTAGCCACATGACGTTTCAATTGTTCACATTAAACTTGCTATGTTGTTTTACACTGAAGGAACTTGGAGTAGTTTTTTATTGTGCAAATTTTAAATTGAGGCTTATCATTTTATTGCAGCAAAAAAAAGCTAAAGGCAATAGATCTAGATTAATATACTTTATAGTTGACACCATTCAATGCTTTTTGACATCATTCAGTGCTTTTTGTATATTACACATCATTGAATATTTTCTTTTTTTGTATAGATATTTACAATGTCAAATGTTGAACAGTCTCAATCTGTATCAAATGACGAACAATTGCCGCTTGCAACACAAGAAGGAATTGATAGTTCTCAACCTATTGAGCAGACTGTTGGAAGCACTAGTACTTAAATGCAATGTACGAAATGCAGGAAGAGAAAAACAGCTGTCTGGGAGTATTTTATAGATATTAAATCAAATTTAAAGGAGGGTTGAAGTATCATATGTTGTAGCTTCTGGTTCTGTGGAACCCTCGAAACCTGATTTACAAGTATACCTTGAGGAGGGATTATTTGTGAGTTATAATGAAAATTTTGATGCACTCGGTTAATGGAAGATGAATACATTGAAGTATCCCCAACTTTCAACTATGGCTCCCGATATTTTCTTAATACACATAACAAAGGT